ATAATAATTCTTTAATTAACGTATAAAAACAAAAAGACTAGTTCGGTGAGGGTAAGGGTGTAAAAATTCCCTAAGACCCGTGGACGGCCTGAAACCCGCCTACAGCCCAAGGTGGGTCGGGCTTGTTTTGGTCCCGTTAGGCCCGAGCCCGAGCTCAGGCTCAGCCCAACACCTTAGGCCTTCCATTTGAAGCCCAGCCCACCTGGTTCTCCCTCTACCAATGGTCAAATTTTAAAAATAAATAAATACAAAAAATAAAAGACAAGTTGCAACCAACGGTTAAATAATTTTTAAAAAATAAAATAGAATGAAGGCTTGATCTTGTGCAATAATGGTAAAAAAAAATTAAAAAAAATATTAGGCCGGTCATTTCCTTCTAAGGAGGCAGTTGCTTACCCCCTGTCTGCCAGTGCTGCCCTACCCACCAATGTCCCCTTGCCTTGTCTTGTTATGCACATGTAGAATTACTCACATCATGATTCATTGCAATTTGCAATGAATGAAAATAATAATAATAATAATAATAATAATAATAAATGTCTACACTTCTGTAGACTAAAAAAAAATATTTGATAATAAGAATAATTTAACGGTCATATTACCATTTAACATAACGGTCATTTTATTTATTTATTTATAAATTTACTTCAATCTTCCAAATGTCCATAGATGTTCCCCTTTTCCAAAATAAATCTCACAAACAATTCTCTCTCTTAAACTCTCAATTTCTCTCAACTCTCAATTAATTTTGGAGTGTCATCCCTAAGTGGCATATGTAATTGTGCAACAAGAAACTTTTATCAGAAGAAACTAATTTTTATATCGCATTTGCCAGTTGGTAAAATTAATTAGTTTAATTAAATTTATTAGTTACTTATTTTTTTCATTAATTATTTTTGAACATATATTAATTATTATTTTTTACTCATTATTGTTGCTCATTATTTAAATTAATTGTTAGTTCTTATATATTATTTTACTTACATTACTATGGATCCTAATATTCCTAATATTTATGTCGATGTTGATATATATATATATATGCTACACAACATGACTCTGTTGATTCTCCTTCTAATATCCTTTTTTCAATAGTTAGATTATCATCTAGGGGCACAACTAGTAGTGTTTGGGAATATTTTGAAAAATATCTATAAATAATCATGATGGTACAATTACATTTAAAGTAAAATGTAAATATTGTGTACATTTACTTAGTGCTACATTTATAGGGGGTACTAGTCATCTAAGAAGGTATGTTAACAAACATTTGCAAAGTCAACAACCTGATATTAGAAGTCAAATGCAATAAGGGGTTTCATCAACTAGTAATTTGCAAACATTTGCATATGATCCTACACGTGCACAAAATTCTATAGTTGATTATATTATTAAAAAAGAATAACATTTTACTACTAGTGAATGTCCCAATTTTACTAAAATGATTCACAAAAGTTTTGTTCTGCAATATCAAAGTTTTTTAAGAAATACTACTAGAAACAAGATTTTAAAGAAATTTGAGGATGTTAAAAGTGAATTATTTGACATGTTTAAAAAATTGAATGGAAGAATTTGTTTAACATCTAATCTATGATCAAATAATGGTTTAAAATATCAATATATCACTGCACATTTTATTGATAATAATTGAAAATTAAATAAAAAATTATTTTATTTAAATTAGTTGAACTTCCATACACTGGTCATTTGCTTAGTGTAGGAATATGAAATGTATTATATGAGTAGGTTTTGCAAAATAAAATATTTATAATTAGTTTCGATAATGCAACATATTATAATCAAATTGTAACCCATTTAAAATCAACTTTACAATTATTTGTTGATGGTGATTTATTTCATGTTCATTGTTGTGCCTATATTTTAAACTTGATTGTTAAATAAGCTATGAATGTATATGAGACTTCAGTACTTGTAATAAAAAATGCAGTTGTTACTATTATGTTTTCTACGAATCAAATTTCGGAATATAGAAAAATTTGTCAACGAGAAGGTATGTCATTTAAAAAATTAATTTTAGATATAGATAGTAGGTAGAATTCAACGTATAATATGTTAAAAAGCGCTTGTAAACAAAGAAGAGTAACATATTTATTTTTTACAACAACATCAATAGGAGGAGTATTGACTCCCACAGAACTTCATTGGCCCCAAGTAGTCTTGTATAATTTTTTTTTTAAAGTTTTTGATATTTCAACAAAATTATTTTCTTATATATATATATATATTCCTACTTCACCATTTGTTTTACATATGCTAGCAGAAATAATTAAAGTTTTCATAAAATATATAGGTAATGAATATTATGTAACCATTATTACTTCAATGAAAGCAAAATTTGATAAACATTTTGATCATTTGCCTCATCTTTTAGGTTTAGCCATAATAATTGATCTTAGGTGAAAAGAAATTAGTTTATAAGAATTTTTAGAATGTATTTTCGTTGATCAAACACAGTTTGCCCTTATCATGCAAATATGCAACACATTATTTGAAGAATACAGGGCGGCTGCATCTGTAAATACATCTATACACACTACATTATCAGTCTCATCACGAGGAGGGAGATTAAGTGTTTTCTCAACAATAAAAAGTAGAAGAATATCTCAACATATAAGCGTAAGTAGTTCTGAACTACAACGTTATTTAGAAAGCCCATCAGTGGATGATTTCAATGATTTTGACATTTTGGATTGGTGGAAACAAAATAAAACTATGTGGCCTGTGGTTTCACAGATAGTCCGTGATATACTAATTGTTCCTATGTCTACAGTTGTTTCGGAAACAGATTTTAGTGCAGGTGGATAGGTGCTAAGCGATTACCGCAACAGGCTTTCATCCCAAATGGATGAGGCACTGATAATATCTAGAGATCATATGCATGCACTTACGAGAAGACAAAATTATAGTGAAAGGGAGAGAATTCAAAATGATTTGGATGATATATCCTCGGGCAATGCGACTAAATTATTTGTCTCTTCCCATGATTGATCAACAATTTATTTTTTAATATTTCATTTCATTATTTTTTTATATTAGATTATTGAGGTGAAATATAATACAAATGATTAGTAAGCTAGTAGATGCCAACTTAGTTGGAATGTACTTGACCTATAGTGATGCAATTGCTCTACTATCATCAATAGTCTACACATATTTTATTTAATAATATAAATTTTTGTAATATTTTATTTCATTTTAAAATAAAAATTATTCATTCAATAAATGTTATATATTTAATTTAATGATTGTAATATTGAAAATTTTATTTTCATATATATAAAATTATTCATTTCAAAAGAAAAAAATTACATAATTGCATACTTTTTTAGTTATAAGTTCATAATTAAAAAAGCGTAAGTCATACATAATTAAATTTAAATATCACCATACATAAAACATAACTAAACATCTCATTTATCTTAACTAAAATGCTCTAGTACAATTTTTCTTTTATTTTTTATCCCTAATAAATAATCTACATAGATAATGTATTTATTGTTTATTTTTCGAGGGAAAAAAAAAGAAAAAAAAAAAGGCCAACTTAGGCTCGAGCCTTGACCCGCGGGCCCTATTTAAAGTGGTTATGGGTTTGGACCTGTGCGCCACTTTTCGGGCCATGGGGCGGCCCGATCCGACCCGTCAAAAAGAGAGAGCCCGCAAGGCCCACTTGGGTCGACCCCAAGCCCAGGCCCGAATTACACCCCTAGGTGAGGGAAAGCACTTCAACACCGAAATAAAATTTAAAAAAAATCAATTTGAGAAAGTATTTGCGTTTAGTGGGCCCACTATGAGCTCAATCTCAGTGATTCAAACTGTTCACTTTTTAGGGGTTGTTTGGGGTGCCCTAAATAAGTGTACTTTTTGTCTTTTTGGACTAAAAAATTAAAGAAGAAAATATAGATGTTTGGGTTAATTTTTTGACTTTTTATGAAAAAATGTGTAATAAAAAATTGTAAAAATTGATTTGCAGGGAAAAATTAGAATTGGGAGTTGTGCAGCCGTAATTGTTGACTTTTGGTGAATAGTGTTAACTTTTTAATTTTTTGAGTAACTTTTTAACTTTTTAGCTTTTTTACAATATGCCAAACTTGGCCTTAGTACTTGTTGGAAAGAATATTCATGTAAAAAATTAAGATAATTAGATTTCGGTAACTATGGCCTTGTTTGGTTTGTGTTTCTCAAAAAAATTTGGAAAAAATTTTCTACAAATAAGTTTTCAAAAGTAATCAAACCAAACAAATTTTCCCAAAAAAAAATTTCAAAACTTATTTGGTTTACAAATTTTCCAAACAAATCTCTCTATCATACACATCAAATCAATCACTTTTTCTAAAACTTTCTCTCAAAATAATTTTTCAAAACATCTTTGAAAAAAATCAAACCAAACAAATTTTCGTACTTTTTATCTCAAAACATGTTTCTCAAATACAAACCAAGCAAGGCCTATATATTTGAATCACATTTACCTTAAAAGAAATAGACGGCAAATATAATTTCAAGAATAACAATTTATTTTTTAAAAACAAACGTAATTTAAGGGTTGGTTTGGCATAAACTAAATAATACAAAAAGTTAAAAAGTTACTATCTTATTTAAGTCACATCATCTTATTTAAATCACATCATCTCTCTAACACATCACATCAAACCCAATCCATATAAGCCAATAAATTAAAAAATACACTTTTTAAAACATCTCAAACCAATTCTAAATATATAGCTACCAAAATTCAATCATTTATTTTGACTTATTACATAAATATTATCCTCAATAAATTAAAAAGTAAAGAGGTTAAATCACCGGAATTGAATTTACAATAAATTCATTAAATTCAAACGGTCTCTCAAGTCAAATCCCATAGAAAGCAAATCAAAAAAAGAAAAATTGGCAGATAAATAAAAAAAATTCATATTAAATATAAATAAATAAATAAATAGAACTCTCATAAAAAAGGGGACTTCTGTCTCTGTTCGATCCAACGAAACCCACTTCAGCGTCTATCAGTCTGAACAGACTCTGGTGGCGGTTCTTGTCTCTGTATTCTAGGGTTTAGGGTTTATGATTTTTCTTCTGATTGAAGGGTTTTAGGACCTTGATTGGTTTAGATTGACGGTTTATTCTTTTGTATTTTCTTGTGAAAGAATTGAATTGGAATTTCATGCTTTAGGGGGAGAAAAAGTTCTGGGTTTGAATTGAAATGATTTTTATTTTTGTGAGATTTGTTCATGAACTTATATTTGTGAGTTGAGAACAGTGCGATGTTGGGTGATGCTGAAGTTCTGTCAGACTTACATGGCGATGCTTCATCAGCATTTTCATTTGGAAAATATTTGAGCGACACAAAATCAGTAGTTCAAATGGTTTAAATTTGTCATTTGAGCCATTAATTTTGTGGAATAATGCTTGGAACCCCCTTTTGGAGGTTCTCTCACCCCCTTGCCACGTGGCGGGTGGTAATTGGAGGAGCAGGAAAAAAAAGAAAAAGAAAAAGAAAAAGAAAATGTAACCAATGAGAGAGAGAGGGAGTTAAAGGGGTGGGGAAAAAGGGGATGAATCATTATTGTAATTTTGTGGCCTCTAGCATTCTGATTTCCATTTAGAAAAATGTTTGAGGGCCGAATTATTGTAATTTTGTGGCCTCTAGCATTCTGATTTCCATTTAGAAAAATGTTTGAGGGCCGAAATCAAGGGTTTGAATTTGGCTTGAAACTCAAAACGAAGGCGATTTGCGTTTCGAATTTTATTTATTTATTTATTTTTTGCCCTTTTTCTTCCTTTTCTTTCTTTCTTTCTTTCTTTCTTTTCTTCTTCATCTTCTTCGTTTGAACACAGGCGAGACAGAAACAGAGGCGAGAGAGAGTCGTCGTCGTCGCATATTGTCGCTCGTCGCATCGCAGCCCCGCCTCCGCCTCTGCCTCTGCCCGCCTCCCCCTACGCCTCCAGCCCCATTTTTATGGCCCCCTCCAGTTCTACTTCTCCTCCTTCTCTTCTTCTTCCTTCTTCCTTCTCAAATTCGAGCCAAATTTGAGCCCCGATTTTTGGGCTCTGTACCGGGGCTGTTCCATTTAATGGATATGGTGAAGATTTCCGAATGAGGTATGTACCATTTTTTTTTACTATTCTTTTTGATCTTGGGTTCTTTAGCAATGACAACTCTACAAACAAGAAAACTAGCGCCTTTTATGAAGCTCCAAAGTCCACAATTTATACAAAATGCTAATTTCCTTTTTTCATTTTATATGATTATGAAATTTCGATACATGACAATTAAGCTTTCGATCAAGCTGCTGTACCAACATGTTTGAAGCTATACGTACTTAGTTGGAAATTGAGTATGCTGGAACTTAGGAAATTGTTCTATTTTATTTTTTTTAATTTTTTTTTCATGAAGCTTGGATAGGTCTCTATTTATTTTAGTCTTCTTGTCTTCAATGACTTCCTGCTTGTGGTAACCAATAGATATTATTAGATGAATGGTCTTCTTCGAATTTTATCAGTGTATAATGTTTATACTCGTCTGATGTTTGCATTTTTTCAGGAGGAAAAGATTGACACCTCATTGGAGGACATTCATACGACCTCTCATGTGGCGTTGTAAATGGGTAGAATTACAAATTAAGAATTTTGAGTCCCAAGCATTAAAGTATGACGGAGAGCTTGCAGAATTTAATAGAAGAAAACTGTTTGAGTTAGACAATTGCTCATTAGAAGGTTTTGGTGCAAAGTCATTTCCATTTTTTTGTCAAAGTCAAAGCAAAGAAGTTATGAAGAAGAAGAAAAGAAAAAGAATTGAAGACACAGTGGCCATAGCATCATATATGTCACATCATAACCTATTCTCCTATTTTTGTAGAGATTTTCACTTTTGTTTTATCCTGCTTCATGCATGTATGTGTATGTTAATTATGACTGATAAGTGGTATGTTTCAAAGAATAAGAGGTCTGCTGCTGTTGTTGCTTCTATTGATGATGATCGGGGCAGACGAGGTGAGGAGTGAGAATTTTTTTCTTATAATTCTGTGACAAATAGCCGAAGAGTGGTATGAGTAAGATATGGTAGTAGAAGCCTAGAAGGCATCTGCCAAACATTTTGGCTTGTATGGGGTTGTAAATGTGGCTGATTAATTGGTTGTGAATGTGGCTTGTTGGTATAAATGCAGCCTTAAAAGTATGGCATTGTAAATGTGGCTGATTAATTGGTTTTCGTGGCTGAAAGATTGGTAAAAGTATAGGGGCTTGTATGGGGTAACAAAGAGGTAGGGTTCAAAGACAATTTTTGGAGCTGTTCTAGGCACTGTCAATAGTACCAGTAAACAAACCTCGTTTGGGAATTGACTTTTTTTGTGACTTTTAGACTTTTTTATGAGATGAAAAAAAGTTAAATGTATTTGAAAATGGCTTTTTTTAGTTGTATCAAAATCCGTAAATTACTGAGATTTTTTTTAGTGACTTTTTAGCTGTAAAAGTTCTACATTTTTCAAATGAAGAAATTTTTCATGAATTCAATTAAAGGGGGAGCCTCCGTGGGTTTCATTGTGATGTGATGATTTGGTGGAAATTTTCTATCAAATCTTGTGAAGAGAGCGAGCTTTTGATTGATTTGATAGAAAATGCTTTTGATGCAAATACATAATTTAAATACTTTCAATGTATGCCTCTGTAATGAAATAACTATGTGCTTTTCATGCTGAAGTTACTATTTAAAAACACCAGTGGAGTAGTTTTGACAAGATCAATGTTCTAGATGTGAGTTATGTTCTAAGGATCTAATCCCATTACTAATTCAATTGTTCCTTTTTTCCTGTAGTGATTTTGGCAGAGAAGTCAATTAATGTCAATGATGAGTTTGGGGTCAATGATGAATTGTTATCCCATGAGTTCAGAGACGGTGACAATTCCTTGGAACAAATCCTCTTGAAGCTTGGAATTTTACAGTCACAAATTAGCAAAATAAAGTCCCGGCTCCACAAGGTAATGCTTGAAAATGTTGGAAAGTTCATTCCACTGACAAGTTGAGTTTGCTTGTATCATGTGATGCATTGACCAGCTCTGCTCAAATTCCTGCCTCTCCTCACAACAATGTGGATAGAACACCAATATTTCTTCTTATATTTCAAGGTTTTTTTTTTTAAATAATATTTTTAAATTTTAATTCTTCCTACATCTGGGTATAATGTCTGTAATCTGGTTATGCCTTAAACTCCAGCTTCGAGTAATGATCCATGTTCCTGATATAATTGAAAGCACGGATCAGCCTTGAGGTTGGAGGTTCATCCAAAAAAGTAAAGTCTTTCTTCTAGACTGTTTTTAATCCCGGCTCCACTTATCTGGGTGTAGAATTCCGGTGACAACCATGATCATGTAAACTATATTTTTCATTTTTTTTAAAAACTCTTTTCTTGCTTCTATAATTAGAGTGACCAAAGAATGCTAGAGATTGTAATGCTTTGTACTTTCTTCTTCTTGTTTCAGGACTTCTTTGGCGACTCGATCTTATGGCTCACGCCTGCTGTGATTGAACAAACTAGACACCTGACTGCATTTCCGGGGATTTGCAGGCTCGTTGGTTCTCATTCTTCTTTTGGTTATGCTAATGACACAGCAAGAAAAGATTTTTGGTGCAAAAAACTAATTCTAATTTGTATATTGTGCTAGGTTGTTACATTGCTACTGTCTTCTTTTGGTTTAGAAGTGTATTACTAGAGCAAAAGGGCCCAATGCCTTGTAAAAAATGTTGGATAAATTTTAATAAAAAATAAAATTTGATTTAATTCTTTTCTTATTATGTCATTTCAGTTACACAATTAATTATGTTTTATTATCAACCATTATACAAATTTAATTGACAATATTTGAATGTTTTGTTATTTAAGGAGAATTTTGTTACAAAAACTCCTATATAAATCACTCTCCTACCAAGTGTTTTAGAGAAGAAAAGAAGGTAATATGAGATTGAAAAAGAGTTCTTTGTATATTTATATATGGGTTCTTAATTTTGTGGGCAACTTGATTTGTAACTCTTTCATATCTTCTTGGTGGACGAAAACACTAGATGCGAAATATTGTACCTTCACATGGGGAGAAACAATAGTTTGACATAGTAATAACATGTGTCTTAGACACTCACAAGCAAAACTTTTTACTTCTAAATTTACTGCAATGTATGATGTTTTTAATTTACTTGCTTATTATTTTTATTTGTCTTACTTTGTACATGCAACTTCTAAATCCATTTGTGAATTTTATTGTAGGAGTTCTAACAAAAAAATAATTGAAGAATTCTATTATACATATCTCCCTATCATATGCATTTTTAGTTATGCTAAGTAAGAGAATTGAACTCAATTTATGCCGTTGTTTAAATCCAAATTAATGGAAGGAAAAGGAAAAGAAAAGAAAATAGAATTATTTATGAAATAAATAGTGAAACATCTATATCCAACTTTGAGTAGTAGGAAAAATCCAATATATTTTTTCTTATTAGTGAAGGTCCCTCAATAATATTATTAGAGAAATTTCAACTCGTTATAGAGAAATTTCTTCTGTGAAGTGCCAAAAATTCCTCTATCTATGTGAAAATGTTAGGAGATCCAAATTATTTCAAAAATATTACATGTCATTTATCGTATAAAATCTTAATATCAGGAACCTTAAACCATAAACCCCATTATTTATATTTATTTTTATAGGTACACAAAAAAAAAAAGATTATTATTATTATTTTCTTTTTTGTGTATGCCAAATATGTATTTACATTCTTCTCATTTTCCTAACTCAACTGAAAATGGATTTAAAAACATACATACTTGCCTCTTTCTTTTTTTGTTCTTTTTTTTACCATATGTATATATATTCTCTATACAAATTTAAGATCCAACCACAACCTTCAAGTTAAAAATCTTGTCAAAGCATGAAACTAAACAAAATCTTAAATAGGTTCAACTTGACTATAAGGTAGTGCTTAGTTCACCGAAATAAAATGAAATGACATGATCATTCCATTAAAATGTTTATTCCTATATTTGATTGATTAGAAGGGGAAAAAAATAAAAATACATCACAAATGAAATCATAATTCACTATTACAATTTCATTGTCTTACAAAAAAAATCATATATTGTAACGACCCTCACTTCAACTTAGTCATACTTGCATACATTTATGTATGATCTTGTTTTGTTATGTGCATTTGCAAATCTTGTCTTGTTTTGCTCGAGTGTTGCTTGCATGCTTTGTTCTTGTCGGGTGTGTTGCCGAGGTCATCTTAAGCCTAGACACCTTGGAACCTTTCCACACTTAGAACTATCTTGGAACCACTTCGGTTGATCTCCACCTTCACCCTGGCATATTGGCCGAGATGTCATCATCTAGGCCGAGGTATGCATCACCTAGGCCGAGATGTGCATCATCTGGGCCGAGATGTTATTATCTAGGCGTTCTAGATCCTTGATCCTCGCACTTAGTGGTTTTGTTCCTGGAATGGCATGATCAAGACCGAGGTGTGGCACAGCTTAGTCAAGTGTTGTCCTTCCAAGCCAATGTCGTTGCCACCCTACTAATCGAAGCTTTGCCCTTAGCCGAGATCACCACTTGCCGGAGTGCTCTTACCGTCTAGCTTGTTGAACACACCTTGTCATAGTCTTGTCTTGTCAGTCAGTCACCTTTTTGAGTAGAGCCAATCAGCCGATGCCATGTGTCCCAGCAGAGAGTTAAGTCAGTGACTGTCGAGAAAACATATCATTTTGTATCAAATCTTGCCTTTTAGAGAGAGAGACTCTAGAAAGAAGAAGGTGAAGCCTTTGAGTAAGAGAGTGAACTTCCAAGCTTGATCGTTGGAGTTTGAACCGTTAGATTCGGGTTTTGAGGTTAGAATCTTAATCTACTCTTGTTGTTCTTATTGATCATATAGCTGCATTGCACGATCGAATCTGTTCTGCATGCCATGCATTGATTTAAAGTTGGTTTTAGAAAGAGAAAATGATGTTCATGTATTATTGAAGAAAAGTCTTGTTTTGATTCGAAAGTTTGCATCTAGAACCATGTTTTTGTGTTTGTTCTCACAAGATCTTTGAATATGGGTGCCCAGGTCCATATTTTTTAACTCATAGCATGAAATCTCAGATTTTGTAATAACAAGTCATGATTTAAGCATACATTGTTCTTCGTGTTCTTCATGTTCTTCAAAGAGAAATCCAGATTTTCCCGACTTCGCTTTTGAATGTAGCCGTCAGAACCACACCTCGGCGAGAAGGTGTGGGACCTCGGCCAAGTCCTGGTTGGTGCCCAGCATTTTTTCCTGAGATGAAAACCAGTGTTTTGTTTTGATTTAACTTGGTTTTGATGAATGCCGAATGTCGAGATCATCCGTTTGCATGTGACTCTTGTTTGAAAGTACGTTCAATAGACTTTGTCATGTGTTTGTAGGACTCGGACTTTTGCCTTGACCCCGACGTTGAAGAACTAAGTGAGTGGTATTTTTAATAAAGCTATGTTATCAATGTTTTGATGAGCCTTGCTTTGCCTTGTTTTGAAAAGTATTTGTTAAGCATGAATGATTGTCCCTATTTTGTATATCAAGTATTATCTTGTTTTGATGACATTCTCGGAAAGTCGTTAGTGCTAGGGGACTATAATGCAACTGCACATCTTGTCTTGGAAAGTCCTTAGTGCCAAGGGACTATAATGCAACTGCACATCTTGTTTTGAAAGTCCTTAGTGTCAGGGGACTATAATGCAACTGCACCATTGTTTGAGATATCTCCCTTGCTTTGTCTTGTTTTGCCACTGACGGTTTACCGCGTGGGTTTGTTTGTCCGGAATGTCATCATTTGTAATATGTTGACGCTAGTAAGCATCCCTTGAAGCTTTGAAGATTTGCTAGATGGACGAGGTCCATCCCTTGTTATATAAAGTTTTGATATGTATCGTTTTGAAAAGACTTCGGCTATTATTCATGCAACCCCTTTATTATTTATATCATTCACTGAGTATCCAAACTCACCCTCTCTATATATATGTAGGTGATGAGCAAGAAGACAGTGACGCCTAGATATGATTTGCGAGCTTGTTTTGGATTTTTGTTATGTCGGCTTGACTTGTATTCACATCGGCAGTCTTGAAAATTATGCTTCTCGACTTGTAATACTTGTATTTTGCACACGTCGACTTAAGAAACCTTTTGATTAAGATGTAATTTGTACTTTACTTCATTTGTAACTAAGCTGTAACTCATGTGAAGATGTATGCCATTTCATTTGACTTATGCACAACTCTTATGGACTAATCTGATTTGTATGTATTGCTTTCGTACTTGTGAGCCCCATATATTTATACTCTGTTTGTATGTGAATTTTGAAAGTTAGCTTTTGATAATCTACGGTTTACCGCGTGGGTTTGTTTGTCCGGAATGTCATCATTTGTAATATGTTGACGCTAGTAAGCATCTCTTGAAGCTTTGAAGATTTGCTAGATGGACGAGGTCCATCCCTTGTTATATAAAGTTTTGATATGTATCGTTTTGAAAAGACTTCGGCTATTATTCATGCAACCCCTTTATTATTTATATCATTCACTGAGTATCCAAACTCACCCTCTCTATATATATGTAGGTGATGAGCAAGAAGACAGTGACGCCTAGATATGATTTGCGAGCTTGTTTTGGATTTTTGTTATGTCGGCTTGACTTGTATTCACATCAGCAGTTTTGAAAATTATGCTTCTCGACTTGTAATACTTGTATTTTGCACACGTCGACTTAAGAAACCTTTTGATTAAGATGTAATTTGTACTTTACTTCATTTGTAACTAAGCTGTAACCCATGTGAAGATGTATGCCATTTCATTTGACTTATGCACAGCTCTTATGGACTAATCTGATTTGTATGTATTGCTTCCGCACTTGTGAGCCCCATATATTTATACTCTGTTTGTATGTGAATTTTGAAAGTTGACTTTCGGTAATCTCGGATTACTAGCCATCACGGCACCATCCTACTAGGGGCGGTTTGGAGTCGTGACATATATTGTCCTTGAGATGAAAAGAAACAGAACTTGTCCAGATTATTCTATCAAAATATCCTTTCTTATCTTACTTTGGATTCACTAAAAAATAAAATAAAAAGCATTACAAAAAATAATCATCATTTATCATTGTGGAATGATTATTGCATAGGACTAAAAAATGATCATTCCACCTTCATTCCAGTAAAAATCTAATACAACCTAACAATTCAAAAATTAAAAAATAGGATAAATTATAAATACACTCCTGAAATTTGTTTATAACAAGAATTGCCCCTGATACCCTCTTGTGAGAATTTTTTATTTAACAAAATTAACAGAAAAAATAAAATTCCTAACTACTATCCCATACAATAATAAAATTACCTGAATTGTTAATTAAAATATATTTATGATATCATTAAAAATTGTTAATGGATTTGATAATTTTTTAATAAAAAGAGTTATTTGTTATGCGATTAAAAACTTGAAGGGACGGATGGAATTTCTAGAACCAGGAGGCAATCTTTATTTTAGGCAAACCACATGTGTTGCATTTGTAATTTACCCTAAAAGATAAGATTGTAAATTAAAATAATTGAACCAAACACAACCAAACAATTCAAACTTTAAGAAATAAGGCAGTAAAGTAACTATATATATATATATATAATATAAAAATAAATAAATAAGATAGAAGGTGGACTGCCTTGGTTTAGCATGGAAGATTTTGTCCAGAGACAGCAAAATCAGATGAATGCTGAAGGAGAATTACAATTCACATACATTGCCATTCTAAATTCAACACAAAAAAAACCTCAAAAGTTTGAGATTGATTCACAAAAACTATATATGCACAAAATCATACATTTTACCCATCATAATCGCAGTACTAGTCTAACCACGGATTCGCAAGATAAGAAATAAAAAACAAGAAAATATACATTATCACTACTAGCTAACTATACCTAGCATGCATTTCCATCAAGATCAGAACACTCAACTCACTTCCAAATTTTCTATTATTTCAAAATGCATCTGCAGACTAGGAGGCTTATCGGAAAAATAAAATCTCTCACATGCCTGTAATTTGCCTCCAGTCTTCCGCGCTTCGAATTCAAGCAGCAGAAGCATTTTCTCCTTTTCATTTTTTATCCAAACTCTTCTACTATCACACCATTGCCTCGGAGTTCCATGAAGGACAAAACGAATTCCATCAGCTCCTTGTCTTAGGCGCTTGGACATTCTTTTAATTACATCAGCATCAGTGAGGTATGCTCCAGCAGAATTTAAGCCAACATCCACATAATGGATCTCAGTTATGCTGTTAAAGAGGCTTTCTTTTGAACTGGGTATTATTTGATTCTCTTGCCGGATATTAACAAGGCCTTTATTCACACTGGGTGGATTTTCAGAGGATTTGAATGCAGAAAAGCCAAGCTCAGTTACTAGCTGGTTAAGTACAGTTCCACCCTTACTAAATCCAAGGATAAATGTTTTGGGTTGATGTAAACATGATGTAGATACTCCAGCTTGGTATGGTTCTTGGCGACTCCCTGAAATTAAGTTTTTTGCCTGCCGTATTGACAAGTAAGGAATTCAGATGTCGTTTGTGTGCAAGGAATATATGAGAACCAGGCACGAAAATAGGAATATGTAGTGGAATCAAGTTGGCTGACTGGTTATAGTGATGATTGTAGAATTTCACAATACACTAGACAAAAAATTTATAACAAATTAAAATAATCAGACCAACTTGGAATGTTGGAAGAAGAAGAAGAAAAAATAGGTGGCACTGACACATATATCTTCTCATCTTTAAACAAATTCAAATAAAGACTATACCAAATCATGAACATAAATTAGAAGCAAAATGTTGGTTTGATAAATCTAGTGAAAAACCCACAGCATACAATTGCAGTCATTAAAAGAAGCCATAATCAGAAATAATCACAACTTTAGAAAAATTGAATGTGAAAGTAACTTTTAAGATAGAAGAAGCATCTCTGTGTCAAATACATGCCAGGTTCCACCTCCCTCTTTTTTCTTCCCTTTTTGGTAAACTGTCAGACGACTCCTCATCGATTATTAGTAGAACTTATTGCATTTAAAATATCCTTTTCTTTTTGTTTGTGTGCATTTATTAGATAGATGTACATTCAACTCACACATTCTTACTCATTTCTATATTTTCCTTCTTCCCATAGATTTCCAGATGGAAGGTATTACTTATTGGGAAATTTTTCAAAAAAAAATGTCCAGATAGAAGATATTAAATACCCACATTTCTATACCCTTTACGACAACCTAGCTATAGTTTCTGGTCTTTGAACTCGTGATTAGCTCACCTGGCTGGCTCATACCTTTGCACAATTGTTTGAAACTAGCACACAAGTGCTTGTAATACATAGCCCAAAAAATATTTAAGTACTTAGAGCTCTAGTTGATTTGCATTTAAAGAAACTCAACTTTGTAAAGAAATGTATGAAAATAAAATCTGATCAGACATACCTCTTTGAGGCAATTCGACAAGAGACTAATGATTGATGTAGAAGCTGGAAATCCAGTTGGGTTGTATGATTTTGGCTCTCCCCAGCTGTTTAAAGATGGAATAAAATCTCTATAAACAGCAAAAGGCCCATTAAAAGTGGAAGCCTCAATAACCCATGCATTTATAGAACCACCAAATTTTGAAACCAGAATTTCAGCAATTTTCGGTAGATCTGATAGCCTCTCGATCACTGGATTTCCAGTGCCTTCAACTCGATCTCCATTGAAGAAGATAGCATTTGCAGAAGGTATCTGCCATTCATATGTGATGTAAAATGGAGTCAGAGAATCTTTCAGTGAGGCAAAATACATCTGTTTGGAACATAGTGACTAGAATCAATCGAGTTCAGCTTCTCCAAAAAATGAGGCAGGATTTGAATGTTCTACCATTCCTACTTTCTATTCGAAGCTCTGTACATGGAATTGTTTCTGAAGAATTCAGTCCACAAAGAGAAATAAAAGAGTATTCACATTGAGTTTGGGTAATGTAAAGTTATTCATTGGAAAGCAAATTCAGGGTTTAAAGGGAATTTCACTGCAAAGAATGTGTTGCATTAGTTTTTATGGTTTAGCTATAGTTTTTAAGGGTTTAAATAAAGAGAACTTACAGTTAGGGTTTTGGAAGAAGATGACAGGCAGAGAGATACTGCAACTCTGTAGTGAGCCTTACTATTAGGGTATATCGGAACCTTTAAGATTCCACTCCAACGGTCCATGAATGAATGAACTGCATACCAAATTGTGAGAGAAGACTTTAGAAAGAGGGAATATGGAACATTGTGGTAACCACCACACCTTACCTTTCACTCCCCTAATGCGTAGGCACATATATTATCATGGCTTGTCTGAAGAGTGACAACTAAATCATGACTTATTTGTTTATAAGAATTAACCATCAACAATGACTATCTCTACCAAAATGTTTTTTCCGTTACAAAGAAGGATAATTTAAAGCTTGAATATTGTCACAGAACATCAAACCCAGTTTTTAGCAGCTTTGAGCTAGACAATAAAGCTCAACCATTGTAGGGTAAGCCCATGCCACATAACTTACCATACGAACCACAATTCCATCACATTTGAATAACATTTACCCTTTTCTCATATAATAGTGTAATTGACAAAGGTTAAATTTCTTGCTTCCAAAGCAGATCCAAACCTAAATAATTAATGTCACCTCAATTTCCTTTGCAGCAACAAAAAAACTATACTAGGTTATAAATTTTTCACAAGTGAAAAAAATGTAGAAGCTTACTTGTCCTCATCTAGGTTGTAAAAACAAGGTAATAAGTAATAACTACAATTTAGTGCTCATCCTAAGCAATAACTACAAAAGCGGAAAATTTACCAGTTTTTTCTCAGTTAAGATTTAAAATGAACTCGAAGCATAATTTCCTTTAAAACATGTATTATCCCAAGCACAAACTAGTTACTGGCAGGAAAATTTCACCGACCAGTCCCGGGTATATGTAGTTCTCCATCCCACACATATCAGGTAATTACCGGTCACCAGCCCTTTGGATGGGCCCTAGTGGGTCAATCGCTTTATGGGATTTAAACTCATGACCTATGCTTCTTAAGGCATTTATCACAGCTCAACTTACGGCCACTTGGCTTACCCACTGGGTTTTACAGGCCAAATTTCAATAACATTGAAGACAACATTTAAAGTAGCTCGAGATGACCAATTCAACATTGTTTTACAATCTTTACATTGATATACAAAACAGTGTTCTATGAAATCATATCTTGAAAATTCAATGTCTTGGTTTTCATAAGCCATAATAGTAAACCTTTCCAGCTTGACATTTTAACAAACATCTCATCCACACATAATCAGAATTCATAAAAATGAAAATTTTCAAATGCTTCAAAAGAACCCAAATTCAGATATAACATAACAATTACAAATCTAAAAACTGTAACGCCATTGATGATTTTGATGATAGAGCTCAGGTAAAATTAAACAACAACTGATAAACCAAAACCAAGTTATTCCAAATCGAAATTTTCAAAAAATAGGATATAGAGAGAGATGTTCGTGTACCTGAGGTGACGCTAATACGATGATTCTAGAGAGAGAAAGAGGGTGAGAGAGAGAGAGAGAGCTCCCAATGAGCAGTGAGAACCGAGAATGTATTGGGTCGTTTGGGTCGGGTCATCGGACCGTGAAATAATTTCGGGTTTGTTTGAATCATAATTTTTTTAAGGGATAATATCATTTCTAAACTATTTAAAATTTTAATATTATGAACTTTTAATTTGAGTAAAATTAGCCCAATTGTAAACAATTATCTGAATTTATTAAGGGATTATACTATTTCTATTTAATGACAAATTATTTAGTAGGTCCGACTTATAGTATACATAATGTGACTTTCTACTAATAGAGAATCACTTTTCTTTTTCTTTTTAAAGTAAAATGTCTCACCTATTGTATTTTATAATTTTTCATTTGTCGAGAGAATTATATAAATATTCTCACATATTATTTCGTAACTACTTTGTAAAACAATTTATTTGTTTATTTTTTATGGTTAACTTGTTATTTATTTTTTTCATAATACTATACGATTTTTAATCAAGAAAGTCCGACTTACAGTACACGTGACGTGCATTGTGCCTTTTCAATAGTAGAAAGATAATTTGTAGCTTATTTCTTAATAAAATGATCATGTGTCTTTCTATTATTAAGTGACTCGCAATCATGTAGTAAATCAAATGTTATTTGATCAAATAAAAGCATGCGGATGATCCCATTTGGTAGTTAGTGATCATACAAGCTTCTCAACTTCATTTGAATTTATGTCAATGACCAGCATTTGGGGAAAAAAAAAAAAGAAAAAAAGCACATTGTTGTATCAGTTTCTTACTTCAAGTTCATAAAAGATTCGTTCGCACAATTTTCAGAGACTTACGCCTTGTTTGGTTTGTTTTTCAGAAAAATTTTTGGAAAAAATTCTCTACAAACAAATTTTCAAGAGTAATCAAACCAAGCAAATTTTTCTAAAAAAAATCTCAAAATTTTGTTTGGTTACCTACTTTCCAAAATTACTCTCTCTCATACACATCAAATCAATTACTTTTTTTAAAACTCTCTCCCCAAAACAATTTTTCAAAACCATTTTTGGAAAAAGGCAAACCAAACAAGTTTTTGTACTTTTTATCTCAAAAACTACTCTACAAACACAAACCAAACACACCTTTAAATTCTGTGAAATAAATAAAAGAGAAAGACAGTGATAGCAAATACCAAATATTTAGCTCAAGAAGCTTGCATGAAACCATGGCAAGAAACTTGGTAAAAGCTTTAGTATGACAAAGGTTCTCTTAACTCGACCACTATTTGACAACATGATGTCATTATTAGGCTTAATTAACTTGATTCTGGATTTAAAATTATTGGGTATACTTCCTTATTAGAGTGTGGGATACAATTGGTTTATTAAAAGAATTTAATTTGGTTTGGTTTAAATATAATATATTTTTATATATTATATCTAATTTGTAAAAACCCAATTTGGATATAACTAGGGTTTTGATTAATAGTCTAAAAATCAACAATATATATAAATATATATTGTCTTTATTTTTTGTTCGGTGGAACCGTGTGGCTACCAAGTCATATTTGTTGGGATAGTGGTTGGTGCACTTATGGGTTTGTTATTCAAGCTTGTCGTGTGAGTCTTAGATCAAATTCAGTGGATCTTCGGTTTCGACTTCACAGTTAGATAATTTTGGTTAATTATTTTGGGTCTTTTATAATTCTGGTTCTGAAGATTTTGGTTCATCTATTTGGTGAGATCTTTCCTCTTGTTTATTTGTAATTATTTAGAATTCACTTAAGAGTGGTTTTGTGAGACCATTCGTGTCTCGTTTGTAATCGTTTGGAAACTATTTGGTTGATAGTGGAATCGGATTTCGATCCCGTGGACGTACCTCACATTGAGGGAACCACGTAAAAATTCTTGTGTTGCTTTTGATTTAATTTTTCCACATTAGTTTTTTATTCCCATTGATTGATTTACTTGTGGAGAATCATCGATTTTCCCTAACAACTGGTATCAGAGCTTACGGTTTATTTGGGTTTATTTATTTGTGTAAATCAATGAAGGGGAATGTGGGTTGCATGTCTAGTTTCAATGGAAGTAATTGAGTAACTTGGAAAACTAAAATGGAGGACTTATTATTTTATAAAGATTTGTATGGACCCATTGAGGGTGATAGTGACAAATCAAAAGATGATTTTTTTTCAAAGAAAGACATTGAGTGTTATTATTACCATGAGAAATGGCACATGAAGCGAGAATGCTAAAAGCTCAAGAACAAGGAGAAAAGGCGTGACAAAAGTGTGGATAAGAAGCAAGAAGACACAATAGCAGTTACTACCAATGATCTCATGGTCGTTTGTGAAGATGATTGTATCAATTTTGTGGGCCAAAAGAGTAATTGGGTGATTGATTCCAGTGCTTATTTTCATGTGACTTCTCGAGTTGATTTATTCGCTACCTACACTGAAGGAGATTATGGTTCTGTTCGAATGGGTAATGAAGGTTTGTCCAAGATTATTGGCATGGGTGATGTTTGCTTGGAAACAAATTTGGGCTGCAAGTTGTTGCTTAAAGATGTGAGGCATGTTCCCGACATTCGCTTGTGACAACCCTCACCACTGATTAGTGCTAATCTATGATTAAGCATGTTAAGTGACTGATTGACTGAATTTCTGAACTGATTGATTGAGTGTATTAGTTTAATTGCAAATCTATATGTTTAACTGCTAAATGATCTGTTCATGTTTTATGTTTTAAACTGCAAATCGAAAGCCTTATCGGCGGCCGAATCTGAACTTGATTAGTGTTTCATGTTAATTAGAATTTATGTGATTTTATGGTATGTTTAATTGAAATTTGATTCGGTATGATTAAATTGGATTAAATAATGTTGAAGTACATTAATTGGACTTATCTACCATTTTGCCACTTAGTGGCCTAGTGCTAGACCAATTGTTTAGTCTTGTTAGAGCTTATGTGTTGCATCATTTTGTTCATTCTTGAGACCCATAACCGACTAAAGAAAGGGAGAGAGGGAAAAACTTGAGTTCATCAATTTAGCTTGGAGACTTGAAGTTTTTTGAAGAGAGATTGCATAATTGAGCTTCTAGACTTGAAATTGAGGACATAAGGTAGGATATTCATCTTCTTGATTATGAATTCTAGTTGTACCTTGCATGGTTAATGAGTCTTTAGTGATTAGAGTCTAGATTTGGTTCAAAATGTTGAATTGAAGCTTAAATCATGCATGCATGTATACATTGTTGAGTTTTGAGGTTGATTTCATGGAAATCCTCACATACATGCCCATATTCTAGCTTTGGTCCATGAATTCAGCATGTTTTTGAAAGGATTGACTCATTTGTTCTTGTATTAGAAGCTTTGAAGTTGATTAAATTCATGCATATTGCATGTACATCATGTTCTTGAAGTTTTGTTTGGAAATGGGTTCAATTGAACTACCTTTGGGCTCTGATTTTGCAAATTGATCTTTAAAACATGTTATACTATGAATTTTAAAGTGTTTTCTAGAAAATTAGCCCAAAATGGTCGGATTTGATGCTTTAAATGTTGAGTTTCATGCTTGGAGACAAATCTGAAAATTCCAGATTTTGGATCCACGCTCAAGCGTACACTCTGAGTTCATGCAGTCTGCTCGAGCGAGTAAAGTAACGCTCGAGCGTGAAATGCATGTATCCAGTACTTTGCATGTGTTTACAGTTCGCTCGAGCGAGGGAATGCACGCTCGAGCGAGGACTTGTGTCTCACGCTCGAGCGGGGGTCGAGCGCCTATCGAGCGTGAATTTCATGCATCCAGTACTTTTGCAGTCCGCTCGAGCGAGGAAAGTCACGCTTGAGCGGAGATCCTTTGTCTACATGTCCGCTCGAGTGTAGAAAGCCACGCTCAAGCGAGACCCCTGTTTTCTGAAAATTCTGAAAAGTGTTTTAAAGTGCATCTTTGCATCATCATTCCATCCTAGGCATTCCTAGGCCTAGTTTAGGGCATCTTAATGAGGATAATGCTATAGAACCACACCGAGTCAAGATAGGGACTAAGTTATTATTTCCTAAACATGCAACTTAGTGTGTGTTCATCCTGTAACTGTGTAGGGTTGGCATCCGAGGACGCTCACTAGCTTATCTGTAGCCCAGAACTCTGTGAGTAACAATGTTGTAAAGATATATTCAATCATGAATATTTTCTGAATGATCAACTGTATTGCTTTTTGAAATAATATTTCTTACTGAATGAATGCTTGTCCTATTTGCGAACTGTATTCGTGGCATCCATAGCAATTTACTGTTACTGTACTGTACTGCTACTGTCATAGAGATCTCTGTCGGTTCCCATGCTTGGAACCACTACTGTTTACTGATATGATGGCCATCGATTGACTGTTTAGTCTGTTAAGACCTACTGTACTGTTTGCTATTGGATGTACCACTTATGACTACTATGATCGAATAACTGATATACTGTTCAAATGACTGTTTTGATACTGGAAGGACATTCATTCCTAACCTCTTTACGCATATGTTATTCACTGGGCTTTAGCTTACTGTTTATATATATATGTAGGTGTCCAGGCACCGGATCAGAGATAGGAGCGTTGGGTTAAACTCTCTTTTTGTCAAGCCAACCAACGTGCCTCACTGCGAGGTTCCAAGTGTGTCCAAGCCAAGGCTGCTTTGGGGTGTTTTAGATTTCCCCTTTCTGTCTCTATTTTGTATAGACTGTATAGACTTGTACTGTATTGTTATGGTAGGGTTTTGGTCCCTAACCTGAATACTCGTATATATATATATATATATGTATATTACTGTTTTGGTTCTGAACGTAAATATGTATGAAAAGTTTTTTTGCATACAGACTGTCACAGCTCATTGGACATCTTTTACTACTGTTTTGGCTTCTGCTAGCCCATGTACTCTGTATTACTGTTATTACTGTTAAGCAGGCCTTCGGTAATCACGAATTACTGGCCAGTTACGGAGCCAAACCCATAGGGGCGGGTTTGGGTCGTGACATCGCCTCAATTTGATCTCTACTGGGAAGCTAGATGATGAAGGCTTCAACAACAAATTTGGTAATGGAATATGGAAGCTCACAAAGGGTTCTTTGGTGGTGGCGATGTGTAAGAAGACTCA